ACAGTTTAAAAATCTCCGCTGCCTCCTTGCTGTCTGCGGAGAAGCGGCTGCTCCACTACCCTGACATCCTGGTGTCATTAGGGTCCACGCACACTCTCCTCAGCTAATGAGGCGGCAGAAAGAAAATTAAGGGGAAAAAAAATCGCACAGGCACATTGCTCTATATGTAGATGGAGAAATAAAACAAGAGCAAGAAAAACAGAGGTGCGCTGTTTACGAGAGCTCGCCTCCCCCTGCCGCTGGGGAGGGGGCACCCGCAGCTCTGCCCAGACGGGAAACGGGGTCTGGCTTTTGACTACCGCAACCCTGGGGTTCGCCCACGAAAAAGCTCGTGAAACTGGGGGACACTGCGAGGTCGCTTTGCCTAATTCTGCAATCAGGTAAAAAGAAAACACAAAAACTCGAGGTCCATTCTACCAGCACAGTCAATGCCCCAAAGGCGAGGCAAGACCTGAGCTCTGCTGATGTTTCTAGAATCTGTCATTCTCGCTGCCAGCCTTCATCTCGCCTTGTTGAAGCTACGTGCGTGCCTCACCCGGACTGCCACAGCAGTCTGCTTTGCCGCCGGTCCCCCACCCTGGCATGCTCTCTGCACTTCAGCAGAAAAATCATCCGTGATACTCATTTGGTTACGTCACAGTCTCCTGCTTAAAATGATGTAATACGTTCCCATTGTGCTTAAGACAAAGGCTAAAACCCTTAACCTTTGAGGCCCCTGACTCTTGCTCCCTCTTGCTGCTTCCTCCTAGCTACTGGGCCATCTTTCAACTGCACCCATGGCAGTGCCCCTTCGGCCCCAGGACATTTGCCTGTGCTGTTCTTCCTGCCTGGAATGTTGCTTCCTCCTTCCTTCACACAGCTGAGTCTTTAGTCTTTAAAGTCTGGGCTCACTAAGGGCTTGGGGGGAGCCTCTCACCCCACCTGCAGCCCCAGCTGGGTCAGGCCCTCTATTCGGCACTTTCAAGCTAGAGGGCCTGGGCTGGGCTGTGTCGCTGTGGGGCCATGGCTCCCTCACATTGGGTGTGTGGTTGTCTGAAGCAAGGCTGTCCTCCTGGCAGCTCCGTGAGGGCAGCCCCAAGGGCCTGGGCTGTGTCGCTGTGGGGCCATGGCTCCCTCACATTGGGTGTGTGGTTGTCTGAAGCAAGGCTGTCCTCCTGGCAGCTCCGTGAGGGCAGCCCCAAGGGCCTGGGCTGTGTCGCTGTGGGGCCATGGCTCCCTCACATTGGGTGTGTGGTTGTCTGAAGCAAGGCTGTCCTCCTGGCAGCTCCGTGAGGGCAGCCCCAAGGGCCTGGGCTGTGTCGCTGTGGGGCCATGGCTCCCTCACATTGGGTGTGTGGTTGTCTGAAGCAAGGCTGTCCTCCTGGCAGCTCCGTGAGGGCAGCCCCAAGGCGTGCCGAGGTTCAACCCTGACTCCGATGGCGAGCACAGGGGTTCCTAGCAATGCTTGCTGAACGAGTACGTGCTCCTGCACCGAGTCTGAGGGTTTAGGCCGCCCAGGCCAGGGGCACGAGAAGCGAGAGAGTGAGCGAAGCCCTTTACTCCAGACCAAGCATCTGGCCCACGGTCAACTAGTGACAGTTGCACAACACGCCTGGGTCCCCGGGTGTGTGTTTCTCTGCCTTCCTGCCTGCCCTCCCGCAGGCTGGGCCCCATCCGACAACTTCCAGAATCCAAACCTGGCTCCCGCCTGCACCTGCCCTTGCGCCCCGACGTCTGACTCCGGTGTTAACTAGCGGGCAGCCGGGCAGAAAGGCCTGGCACTGTCAACATGCTTGCTTCCCAAGCTGTGACACCACTTTGATTTTCGGGGCAGAGCACTGCGCACGGCTCCGATGGATGCTTCGAGTCCGCCTGCCGCGGTGACGGTGCCTTTGTCTGGGCATGGGGGAGCTGTGATTTATGTCATAAGCTCGCTGTGAAACCTTTGCCTCAGTAATTCTGAGCTCCGTGGGTGTCTCTTTACATCTATTTAAAGCACGGCTGCTGCCCACGGACGGCGTGCTCTGTGACATTCCCTGGTGCCTCTGTGTACGCCCCGCCACGGCGCTGAGTCTTGCCTGCAGAGCATCTTTGTGGCTCGTTTCAGTGTTTGCTGCGCACTCCCCGAGTCTGCTGAGCAGAGTTGGGTCTGTACCTTTGATGTCCAGAGTGGCGATTAGACCCCTTCCCCGGCGGACCACTTGCGGGGACCCGGTGGGGGGAGGGACACGCTGCTGCCTGATTTCCCGAGTTTGCTCTGTTTGTCCTGGGGCTGCAAGAACAGGGACACTTGGATCTTTGTTTACAGGATGCTGGGTGCTTGGTGGTAAATGCCTTCCCCTTTGAAACCTGCTCCAGACCTGAGCACTGGTGGCCTTGGGCCCCATCGGCAGTCCTTCGTGGATGCCCCCTGGAGGTGTGGGGGACTTCAGCGTAAAGAAGTCGGATCCCCATTCCCCAAGATGTAACTGGCAGGCCCCTGTGCCCTGGGGTTGCTGAAATCCCCTTCATTCATTCAACAAACACCGACTGAGGGATTGCAGGTGCAGGCACCGCGCTACGTGTGTGTGTAGGTGTGTGTGTGTGTCTGTGTGTGTCTGTGTGTGACAATGGTGGCAATGCTTTTTTGTGAACACCTCCAAATATTAAGATATTTCAAGGAAGCTCCAATTCCTTCCCCAATGGTGTTAAATAGCTGAGAGATTCATTTTCACTTCCAGGAGCCAAGCACTTCTCATAGCCTCTTGGTCCCTGCTATAACAAACAACCTCCAAATTCAAACCTCCCTGCAGCCTGCAGCCCCCACTGACCATGCTCTATTCACTTGTTCGCTGACAGGTGTGGGGAAATCCCAGGATAGAGCCCCTGGAGGCCCAGAGGGGAGGCACTGAGCCTTGCCCTGCATCTCGAGGTCAAGCTAGGGTAATTCTTACAGCTCTGAGGACCGAGTTCAGACACTAGAGGTCCTGTCTCCAGGGATGATGTCCATGGGGCTGCACCTAGGACTTGGAAGTCTACAAAGATCACACAGACTGCATGATTCCAAGCCTAACACAGGACTGTTACTAGTCACACCTGAAATATATTGACTTTTTCTTTTAAAGAACTGGCCCCAAATTTTCTCACTTTTTAAAAAAATAAAAGATTGTATTTATTTATTTGAGAGAGATAAAGGACCAGTGGAGGAGAGAGGCAGAGGGAAAAGCAGGCTCCTCATAGAGCAGGGAGCCCGATGCAACGGGGTAGGGGCCTCGACCACAGGACCCTGAGATCATGCATGACCTGAGCCGAAGGTAGACGCTCAAACGACTGAGGGACCCAGGCACCCCCAATTTTCACTGTTGGTCCATCACGTAAAGTCATTTGTTTTGCTTGTTTCTTGTTCCTTCCCTATGCAGTTTCATGCCAGGAAGGGTGAAGTGAGCATCTTGATTTAATGCAAACATGGCATGAACTGGAGGGGCAGCAGGTGTGTCCCATTTCCATTTTATCAGTTGATGAACTAAGACCGCTAATATTGGGGCACATTACAATGTAAATGATGGCTACAGAGGTAAGTGTTAGAGGATATATAAAAAAATGCTGATGTTTCTTCCCATTCAAGAGCCTGTCATATTGAAATCCTACATTAGTGGAGTGCCACGGAGAACTCAAAGATACTAGGAGGGGTAGAAAAAACCCTGTCACAGTGTTTGTGAGGTGAGGACACACCCAGGGGAGTCGTGCGGGTGGTTTTTTTCCCCCCTTTCACCTATGTTTTAATAGACACAAGCGTTACTCTGCATGCATCTCCGAGGCAAAGTTGGCATTTGAGGGAGATGTGTGCATTTCACTGTTTCAGACCATCCAGAGCGCTGTCCTAAAGCAGAAGCTTTTCAGCCATTTGTTCAAAACTTACCAGGCCAAGGTATGTCTCCTGCACATGATCAGTGAGTCCCGGGATAATTTTTAAATCGAGCACCCCCAATTTGACACCTAAGGGAATCTTTCCCTTCCATGGAGTCTTTTTTTGGGAAGATCAACTCTTACTGCAACCCACATTTGGAAACATTTCCCATCTTTGAAATACTTTCTCTGATGGACAAGCTTTACTTTTCCTCTTTGTCATTTCAGGACAGGCCTGCCATGTGGACAAAGTGGCAGGCCGGCTCAGAGTCAAGCCTGCAGAGTGGGGCTGAGGTCCCAACGCCGCCCTGATCCTGAACCGGCCACTCCATCCGGTTGAAACCCATGGAAGGAGAACCTCAGGTGAGTGGCCTATTTCCCACGAGTGGTGGTTTGGATTGAACGACGGGGATCTGCAAACGCGTCAAGCTCTTTCATTAATCTCATAAGCGAGGCAGGTGGTCCGACTGAACATTTCGTTTCAGATCAAACACTGGGCGGACTTTGCCTACCAGTTACACCGAAAGATAAGCTGCCACAACATTTTGAGCCGTGATGTCACCCAACTAAGTGCCTGGTGTCCCCGGGGTAACCGATTTTCTCTTTTAAAAATTATTCTTTAAGGGGCACCTGGGTGGCTCAGGGGTTGAGCGTCTGCCTTTGGCTCAGGGCATCATCCCGGGGTCTTGGGATTGAGTCCCGCATCGGGCCCCCTGCATGGAGCCTGCTTCTCCCTCTGCCTGTGTCTCTGCCATTCTCTCTCTCTGTGTCTCTAATGAATAAATAAAAACCTTAAAAAAAATTATTATCTAAGTAGGCGCCACACCCAAGGTGGGGGCTGGAGCGCACGACCTTGGGATTAAGGGTCACCTGCTTGGGTCATCTGTTGCACCGCAGGAGCTAAGGGGGCGACTGAGCCTCCTAGTGACTCTGGCCTCGGGGCTTCTGGGGGTCCCCGAGCCTCCAGGTGCGCCCCCGAGCCCAGCGGCCTGGGCCTCACCTGGGAGCCAGGGAGAGATGCGCTCCCCGCCTGCTGCACCTGGAGGGCTGCATCCCGGCGAGTCCCCCGGGGTGCGGGGGTGCTGCGGGGCCCCTTAAAGCGTGAGAGGCCGCAGGCCCGCCCCGGGCCCTCTTACCTTGGGGAAGGCGTCGGGCCACACGGTGGGGGAGCCGTGGTTGAGCAGCGCCTGCACCGTGCGCTGCGGCGCGGCCTCGGGGGCGCAGGCGGCCGCCTGCAGCGCGCGGGCCAGGGGCGAGGCCCCGCCGTAGTCGAGCGCGCCCGGGTCGGCGCCGTGCCGCAGCAGGAGGCGCGCCAGCCCCGCGCGCGCGTGGCCGCAGGCCTTGTGCAGGGGGCTGCGCTCGTCCTCGTCGCGCGCGTCCGCCGCCGCCCCGCGCCGCAGCAGGAGCGCGCACAGGTGCAGGCGGCGCGCGCGCTCCTCGGGCCGCCCGGGCTCCCCGCTCGCCGCGCTCAGGGCCGTCTCGCCGCGGCCGTTCCTCGCGTCCACGCGCGCGCCGCGGCCCAGGTAGAGGCGCGCGTGCTCGTCCAGGCCGCGCTGCGCCGCCACGTGCAGCGGCGTGTCCCGGCCCGCGCCGCCCACGCGGTGCACCCACGCGCCGTGCTCCAGCAGCGCTCGCGCGCACCTGCGGGGAGGCCGGGGAGGGCGGGGCGGGTCACCGTGGGCGCCCGGGGCGTCCCCTCCGCGCGCGCCCCCCCGCCCGCACCTCCCTGCGCGCTCCCCGCGCCCTCGCCTGCGGGGCCACCCCTGCGGGCCTTGGCTCCCTGGAGGGCGGGGCCTGGGGGTTCACGCTGAGCTGGGGGCGGGGTGGGGGTGAGGGTCGGGGTGGGGGGGCGCGACGATGAGCTTGTGCCCCCCTCCGCCCCGCCCGCGGGGTTACAGACGATGGTTACAAGCTCGGAGCCTTGGCTAAGGGGCCGTAGGTGAGAGCGCAGTGAGAGCGCACCTGGAAACCCAGCAACTGCGCTGCTGGGGAGTGACCCCAAAGATGCAGACGCAGGGAAACGCCGGGACACCTGCACCCCGATGTTTCTAGCAGCCATGTCCACAGTAGCCACACTGTGGAAGGAGCCTCGGTGTCCATCGACAGATGATGGATAGAGAAGCTGGGCTCTCTGTACACAATGGGATATTCCTCAGCCATTAGAAACGACAAATCCCCACCATTGGCTTCGACGTGGGTGGAACTGGAGGGTATGATGCTGAGTGAAGCAAGGCAATCGGAGAAGGACAAACATTATATGGTCTCATTCACTCGGGGAATATAAAAAATAGTGAAAGGGAATAAAGGGGAAAGGAGAAAAAATGAGTGGGAAATATCAGAAAGGGAGACAGAACATGAGAGACTCCTAACTCTGGGAAATGAACTAGGGGGGTGGTGGAAGGGGAGGTGGGAGGGGCATGGGGGTGACTGGGTGGCGGGCACTGAGGGGGCACTTGATGGGATGAGCACTGGGTGTTATTCTGTATGTTGGCAAATTGAACAGCAATAAAAAAATAAATTTAAAAAAAAGATTTTATTTGGGCAGCTCGGGTGGCTCAGCGGTTTAGCGCCGCCTTTGGCCCAGCGCGTGACCCTGGAGACCCGGGATCAAGTCCCGCATCTTGGCTCCCTGCAAGGAGCCTGCGTCTCTCATGAATAAATAATGAAATTAAAAAAAATATATATAAAGGTTTTATTTATTTATTCCTCGGGAATAATAATAATGGCCTCGGGAAATTTGGTTCGCCCAACAGTCCAATGATGAAGGTCTGCTCCTCCCTCCTTGCCCTCTGATAGCGACTCCAAACGTCGTCAGCCACTGCTCCCTGTCCAGTTCTCCTGTCGTCTCTGCCAGCCCTGGGGTCCTGCTTCATCCAGATCTCGGGCTCTCTCAGGAGCAGCCACCCAGCCTGCCTGCTGCCCACGAGTCCACCCTGACACCCATTAGGATCTGTTTCTGCAACCGTCCTTCCCCCATATGTCTGGGGAAGGAAGTCCCTCTTGATGGTCTGGCCCCAGATGTAGTCATGTCCTGCCTCGGCGGGCCGGGGACGTGGGGAGGGGGTCTTGCTCTGTTCTTTGCCTTTTCCTTGTCACCCAGCTGCTCTGCATTTCAACTGGCCACCCAGTGCCGTGGACTCCACCTCCTTAAGCATCACTGGGGCGGCTTCCTCCCTCTGCTCCCACTGGCACTGCCCTTAAGGCCCACATCATTTCCTTTTTCAAAAAAGATTTTATTTATTTATTCATGAGAGACACACGCAAAGACACAAGCAGAGGGAGAAGCAGGCTCCCTGTGGAGAGCTCGATGTAGGACTCGATCCTAGGACCCGGGATCACACCCTGAACGCATAACCACTGAGCCACCCAGGCGTTCCACGGCCCACACCGTTTCTTGCCTGAGCCTGAGCCAGACTCCTACTCTGTCCCCTGCTCCCATCCAACACGCTCCATACCACCCAGAAAGAGCCTTTCCAGCATGAATCAGACATGCACCAGCTGAAAAGCCAAGGGCTCCTCCTGCCTGCTGCAGAAAGCTCGGCTCCTCTCCCCTAGCCCCTCTCCCCGCCTCCAGACCCAGGACGCCGCCTGCCCCAGCTCCCCTGGGCCTCACCTTTATTTCCTGGTGCTCTATCCTGTGCTTCTATCCTGCCTATGTGTCATTCTTAGAACACACCTGCTGTGTCGTGCCCTCAACGCTTTGGCATGCTGCTCTTTCTGGGGTGCTGCGCCCCATCTGACCACGCATGCATTCCTCACGTCCCCTCTTCTTCCCCTCCGACGCCTTCCCAGTGCCACCAGCAGAGGGTCACACCTCTGTATGGTCATATTCGGGCATTAAGTGCCCCGGCATAGCATTTATCACACCATGTTTCAAATGTTCATTAGCACATCTGACTCCTAAGACTGGTGGCTCCTTGAGTGTTGAAAAAAATTTTTTTTTCATCTCTGTGCTTGGTGCCCGTGGCAGAGCTAGCCCACAATTTGTATTCCCTGAAAGCACGTTGCACGAAAGCAGCTCGTTAATGAACATCTTTCAAGCTCTCCTCCGGGCTGCTGCTGTTTCTCCTGTTATTTACCTGGCCCGGCTCCGAACGAGATCACCCATGGAGGGTTTCCAGGCTGGAAGTGGGTGCCCTTAAATCCATTCGTATTTCTACCCCGGGACTCCCAGTATTTTAAATCCTGTCTATTTCTCCAGCCTCCCTATCAGCAGTATCTGGAGAAGTGGTCTGTCTTGGGTGAAAAATCTTTACAAACAAGTACAATTGGATGTGAAATGTCCTTTGGGACAATAACCAGCTAAAAGAGGATGCAAATTTTACAATCAGAGTGCTTCAGAGCAGCTTCCTCTTTGCCTCTCTGGGAGGCATTTCGAGCAGTGCAGCAGGAGGTTAGAAATCAAGGGTTCTGTCTCATTTTGCCGCTGAGCCTGTGTGTGCTCACAAACAATCACAAAACATTTCCTTCTCCTATTTTTTTTTTTAAAGCAGCCCCGCCTCTCCGAAGAAGTCCCCCGGGGCAATACAACTGGGCTCTTTTGCATGTCCAGAGCCTAACTGGCTGATGGCCGGGTTGCTGTTTGCAACAGGCATACCCTTCAGAAGAACCAGGGCACCCACCCACCCTCTGGAGGGCTGCAGGTGCCCTTTTTCATTTTTAATGAAGAGCTTCTAATTGGCTAAGCCTTGGCACTTCCTTCGAGCAGGTAATGATGTAAGTTGCAGACCACAGGTGTGAGAGAACTAACACAAACAATTGAGGGAGGCAGATGTCTGGTGGCTCACACTGGGCAGTCATCAAAAATGAAGGTGTGGGAGCCTGTTTAATGGCATGGAAAGCTATTTGCGGTGGTTATGTGAAAAGATTAGGTACAAAACAGCAGTGAACAGCCTTGTTTTTCTTAAAAAAGAAAAAAACAGCAGACACATACAGGCATGGAAAGCAAGCCCAGGAGCATACAGGCCAATGTGTTTACCTACGGATGATGGGGTGAGGGGTGCTTTTATGTCCTCTTTGCTTGCCTGTATTTTCAAAATTTCCATAATGAATCGGAGTTAGAGAAGGGAACATCTAGAGACGCCCACTATAACAAACCCATCCCCCGCCGGCTGCAGCAGTTCGTGGATTTTAAGAACGTCAGCTGAGCTTTCCAGGTCCCTGGAACGTGCTCCAAGTTTCCATGGCTCTCCGTCCAGGTGCAAGCCACCATCTCAGAAAGTATGTATGGCCAGTACCTCCGAGAAGGAGAACCTGAAAGAGCGGGCAGGGGCCGTGAGAAGCGGAGCGGTAAGTGATGACAGTCTTGGGGCACCTCCCGGACCTGACCTGTGGATTCAGTGTCTCCGGTGGAAGAAGAAATGGCCCAGCGAGGAAAGCACCATCCGAGCTTTTGCTGGACTGTGTGGGCCACTCGGCGGCTTTGGCTGAGTCCTTTCCTTTGGGGCAGCTTCGGGGAGCAGGTTTCCTACTCTCCTGACGGGCGAATCAGGAAGGCCTGGGGCCGGGGTGGGGCCATCACTGTGGGGAGCCAGGGGTATGAGCCCACCTAGGAGATGTCAGAACCACTGGTCTCTATCTTGCAGGGATTAAGGAGACACTGTGCTGTCTGAACGGCCTCCGATACAAAGCAGCTTGGGCAAACACTAACACCCCCCATTCCTCATCGCTGTCTTTGATCGTGGGGACAGGCCCATACAGGGGCCCGGGGTTCACAATACATAGAACACGAGCTTGAGCCAAAAGGCAGGAGTTAGTAGAGATGAGCCTATCAAGGGCTGTTGACTTCACATCATCTTATTTCTAAGTGGGGAGCCCATGTCCCACACACGGCTCCCACCCTGAGGCCCCACGTGGTCACCTCCCAGGTGTGGAAGTCCACACCAGTACTTGGGCTTTCCTGCCGTTTACTCGCTCCGTCCCGGGTGACAGCACCTGCCAAGCCTCCCTGCATCCCGTGAGACAGTGCCTGCTCAAGGCTTCCCTTCATCCGAGCTGTCCACACTCCTCCTCGTTACTCGGTTTACACAAGGCCCTCAAAAGTGGGATCTCACAGCCCCTGGACAAGAGCTGAGAGGTCCCGAGTACTTGATTTTAACATTTATTTTTAAAAAATGTTATCTGCAGGTTTTGCAACAACTCTGCACTCTGGGTGGCATTGGTGGGTGGGAAAATTGAGGCTTAAAAGACCAGTGACTTGCATAAGGGCCATAGAGCCAAGTCTTCCTCCCCTGGCTCGAAGCTCTCAGCCATGCCACCCGCCGGCTGCCTCTTCCTCCTGGTATCATCTGTTAGGCACTCTCTCCGTGCCAGGCACTGTGCGAGGCATCTTCCAGAAGTTATTTCTGGACTCTTCTGTTAGTGTTTCATGCATTCATTCACTCATTCAGTAAAAGGGAACACCGTGCGTACTGTGGACGGTACTGTCCTCAAGGCAGGGAGAAGTGTGTGCTGTCTGAGCACTTCACGAGAATTTCTAGACAGACTTGGGGCAGGACCCAGATGGAGGGTCAAGGCGAGGGAGGTCATCGGCCTTGTGGACTTGGTGTTGCGGGGCCGGAGCAGCAACCTGCTTCTCACCCAGACGTGCTAGCATCTCTGCACGCGAGGTCTCATTCTCCCCAGCTGGACTCAGTTTTTGA